CCAAAGCCCATTTCCTTTATAATTCTGAACAAAATAGGCCAGTCAAGAGTATCATATGCCTTCTTGAAATCAGCTTTAAAAACACATCCTTTAAACCATTCTTCTTCCAAAAGTCAATCCCTTCATTGGCTATAAGGGAACAATCCAAGATTTGTCGACCGGGAATAAAAGCGAATTGACATGGACTGATCAAATCTGAAATGCAGCTCCTAAGTCTCCTTGACAGACATTTAGAGAGGATCTTGTACAAACCACCAACTAAGCTAATAGGTCTAAAATCGTCCAAACCACCAATGTTTGAAATTTTCGGAATAAGAGTGATGAAAGTGTGATTTATTCCATGTTCCCATTCCTTCCCCAAGTAAAAATTCTTAAAGAAGATCATAATATCTTCCTTAAGGACCTGCCAAAACCTCTTGAAAAAACCCATATTAAAGCCATCAGGACCCGGAGCTTTGTTACTTCCACAAGACTTCAACACATCCCAAACTTCCTCCTCTGAAAATTCCTGCTCTAAGAACTGATTCTGCTCCAAAGAAATTCTGGAAAAATTCAGGTTTAATTCATCAATTTCTAGAGTAGATCGATTATTGTAGATCTTAAAAAAATAATCCTTCACAATGTCCTTAATTGCAAATGGGTCTTCAACTGTTTCTCCTCTAAAATTAAGTGTCACCAGTGCATTCCTCTTCTTCCTAACCGTAGCACAGGTATGGAAGTATTTAGTGTTGCGATCCCCGTCTTCAATCCATTTAGATCTCGAATACTGAAACCAAATCTGCTCTTGGATCTTGTGCAGCTTCCACAACTCTGCTCTACAATTATTCAACTCATTTAATACCTCACTATCGACAGCACCCTGCTTTTGTTGAATATCAGCCTCTATCTTCGAAATTTTCTTCTCTAACTCAGAAATCAAGTCTCCTGGATACTTATCTCTGTTTCCAGACCACTTTTTTATTGCATGTTTGGCACTCCTTAAAAGACTAAAAGCACCTGCCTTCTTCTGACTTTTCTTAGAACTCTGAATAGAAGAAATAACCATATCCTCAAAACCCTCCTCATCCATCAAATAGTTAAACATTCTAAACGGTTTTTGACCCCAGTCCACTCCTTTATTCACAAGAATTATGGCATTGTGATCTGACAATGATCTTGGTAGAAGAGACTACAAAATGTCCGAAAATAACTCTAGAAATTGACTGTCAACCAAAAAACGATCTAATCTTACAAACGTGGGATTCTCTTGGTTATTACACCAAGTGAACCTTCCCCCATTCATAGGAAGATCAATTAAGCCCGTATGAAGAATGAAGTCATTAAAGATCTCCATTGAGCTCCTACTTTGACCTCTACCCATCTTCTCATCTTCTTGTAAAGAGACATTGAAGTCCCCTCCCACACAAACGGGAAAATTCTGTCCACTAAGAAAACTGCTTAATTCTTCAAAAAAAACCAGCTCTCTTCCTCCATTGCTGGACCGTATACATTGATGAAACCACAACTGAAGTTTTTATTCCGAAATTTACCAAAGGTAGCTATAAATCTCCTACTAATAAATTGACTCTCTAACTCAAAGATATTGTTATCCCAACAACACAACAGGCCCCCCGCTGATCCAACTGAAGGAGATTCCAAAACTCCTTTAAGCTTATTAATCTCACTTCTCCTAAAGAAAGACCTCTTAAATTTTTCAGTCTTAGTTTCTTGCAACCAAAGGAAAGTAGGATTTAAGCTAGTAACTAAATTCTGAACAGCCCTCTTTTTTTCATTTTTCCCCAAACCCCTAACATTCCATGAACATATTACTAACTTTGACATCTTCATAAAGGGAAAAAGGTACAAACAAAAACCTCAATCAACCAAACCTTGATTAATCCCAATCAAGCCTTTCTCTAGAGCTATGATTTTTTCCAAAAATGCTTCTTTCCCTTCCTTAAAAGATACTCCCAAAAGCTTACTAACCTCCCAAGTTTCTACAGCTTCTTTCAATAAACTCGAGAAAGCTGAGGAGGATGCTATATCAATGCTCACCTGGTCAAGGGCTTCTCGAAACAGGATCCTTCTAGCTCTCCTCTTCCTTCTAATTAACAAACCAGATTTGGGTCTTAAGCATTCACCTTTTGAAAAGTAACCTTCAATCTCCCGCTCTGCGGTCCCATCCCCAAGACCATTAACAAAGCTAGGAAGAAGACTCCCATCAGCAATGAGCTCTGCTGAAAAACAAATCTGTTTTGCAGTGCTGGAATCCACATCCAACTTCCTCTGCCCAACCTTGGTGCCATCTATTTCATTCGTAAAGTTCAACAAATCTCCATACCAATATCTTCTTTCCCTCGACCTGCTATAGACCCTTTTGCAACTGCTCAAACTTCTAGTTTCCAGCACCTCACTCTCAGATGAGACCTTTCTTCTAGAATGGTGTAACTGTCTCCCCCTTGAGATGTTTCCTAAATTAGTTGTAACAGGTTCAAACAACCTTAAATTTTCTTCTTCAGCCTCTATTTCTGCATTAACCAACTTCTCTGTAATTGGGCTCGTCTCCAATACTCTAAACGTTTTCCTGTTTTTTCCTGCTAAATTAAGGTTCTCCACAAAATCCACACACTTATTAACTGTATATGTTGGCCCAGAAATGAAACCCGAAAAATCTTTTGACCCAGACTGCCTAGAGTCTTCAGAATGGGCCTGAGATCCATCAGCCGAATAATGTTGACTTCTAATCCCCAAACCTGCAAACTCACCAACTTTTAAACTCCCAACCTTTTGACTTTCTGGCAGACTACAATTAGTACCTTTCCTATCTAAGGAAAGCCTTGCTAGTTGTCTATTCTCACTAACTCCTCCAGAACCACTGAACACACCCTGATCAATCCAATTGTCCACTGACAGACGATTTTTCCTTGCTGCACATGCCTCACCTTCCCCATGATCTGACAACAACCTGTCTACATCCTCCTCAGACCTAATTTCTTCAGAAAATGCCTCATCGGAATCCTCCACCGGAAAATTACTGAAAAACGAACTTGAATACTCACTTGCTGATCCAATCTTAATACTTACTTTGAATGATATTCCATAAGATCCAAGAGTGATCATCTCTGGAACATCAAAGGGGCTTTCCACCCTCAATAAAATTCTTGGCATTGTAAGGTCTTCTCTTTTCCTTGTACTCTCATGAATACCTACCACTTTGCCCTATCTACCAGCCATCTTCTCGAAGAAAGATTCATTCCAGCATAACAAAGGAACCCCTATTAATTCTGCCATGCAAAAGGCCGTGGGAACTCCGACCTCATTCAGTAAAGGTTCCACTCGTTCAAACCACTGTTTTAAAACCTCTTCCTTTTTGCTCCACAAATCCAGCATCTCCTCAAGGGAATTAAGAACTAAAACGCAAGAGTTCCAAACATAACCCCATCTAGCAATTTGAACATCATAGCCTTCCTTAAATAAGGCATTCCAAATGAACTCAACTTGAAACGAGTATTTGATAATCCCTGTTAACGACCTCTTCACCCAATTGGCACTTTCTGATGGAATATGCATCTCCATAATATTTTCCTTGACATTCCTCCTTTGGATATCCTCAGACAATAGTTCTTTGTACCCTCTTGTAATCCCATTTGACATCAGAACATCCCTATAAGTTCTATCATCCCTTCTACTTCTGATAATATTTTCTCTTTCTCTTGATTTCGAAGAATCTGCATTAATCTGACCAGAAGCCTCGTTTGAAGAAGTATGCACCACCCTTGACCTTGAACGATCATCCTTAAATCTGGCAGGACTAACTAAGATCTTCCTTCCATCAATCACAACCCCGTTTAACTCTTCAACAACCCTCCTTAAATCTTCCTCCCTCTTAAAATAAACAAAAGCAAAGGTGGAAAATCTGTACTTAGGATTTCTAATTTGATTGGGAATGAAAACTCTCATAACCGGACCATGGACTAAGAATAATTCCCTAAGCGTATGACGAGAAACCCTCCTACTCAGATTGTCGATAAACGCCGACCAACACTCATCGAGAACTGACTTTTTTTTAAAATTCTCTCTCTCTACGTTTTTCTCTCTCACTCATTTTTTTTCTTTAAGAGCCAACAATTTCCTTCTTCCTCCCTTTTGTCTTCCTCTTTAAAGAGTCTTGAAGTGAAGGAAGATCCCCATGGTGGTCCTGTGAGGGATCATTATCATGAGCATTCTCAGGCATATGAGGTTCTAATTCATTTTGGAGAACAATTTCAGCTGAAGAAGGAAGCTTAGCAGGGTCCTCCATCTCCACGTTTACCCCACAGCCCTCCTACAAGTTTTTAACTAATAACTCAATTGCAGTACCAACCTGCAGATCCATGTTTTGCACCATTTCAGTAGTCTTGTGAACATTGACCGAATGAGGCTCAGAGCTATTGATCACTACTTCAGAAATATTGGAATTTTCATGTAACACCTCAGAAGCAGATGCAATAATTTCCCAAAGAAATCATATCCTTTTTCCTCCAAACCTGAATCTCCTTAGACTTCTGCAAAGACAGTTTTAGCCATAGTACATGACTAAACATGGTGACCAAAAGAGTTACATTCTGTACAGCTTTTAGGCAACCAGGGCACGGATACTTTAATAAGCACAGATGACCCATCTTTTAAGACTACATGAATAGAATCAGGTATAATACTCCCAGCTTCTATCTCCACGCAGACCTTTGCAAATTCAAGCCTCTGCTTAGAAGTTGTTATGGTGTCCATATACAGAGGCCTACCAATGGCACTAGTTATGTAGTTTAAACCCTTTTGAGAGTAAAGCTCTAATGGAACCCTATAGAGTACACCCAGATTAGCATGCAAGTTAGATTGAAGCTCAATTTCTGCGATCCAGGTAACCATTTCCTCAAAACTAATGGCTTATACTGGACGTGCAAAGGACCATTATCCAGTACCCATTCCTTCAACTCACAATCAAGGAATGAAAAAACAAAGAGATTAGGGCCGGCTAAACTAACCTTCACTTGCGAGGAATTGCCCCAAATCGTCTCGATGATACGCTGCATAGATCCAAAACTTGGAGCAGGACCGAGAAATTGACCAATCAAAGCGTTGTTCCAATCCGCAATTCCTTCATCAATCACCTCAGGCGGAGGAATTACAGTGGCCACACCGTCTCGAAGCTCCGGAGGAAAGAAATCGAGGGATTGCTCTTTCGAACCCACGAATAGCTTCTTCCAATCAAGACTCGTAGACCCCGAATCCATGCGAAAAACAAGATTAACGAAAACAGAAAAACAAGAAGAAGCAAAAACAAGCGAAAAACAGCAACGAGGGAGGAGAAATCCTGTTCTCATTTCATACTATTTTAATTAGCTAAATTGTTGTGGAACAAGTTAATCAGTATACAGTATACAATACCCTTACCTCAATCATAAACAAGTATGTTCCAGTTTTGAAGAACAATAAAGAAGACTTAACACCTAAAACTATATGGATACCTGAATAAGCACACACGTAACATGAGAAAAATCTTGAGATAAATGAATACCTCTGGTTTCTTTCCAGCTATTTCTTCTGGAAGCCAAAGACATTGGTTAAGATCAAGGGTTCCAACAACTACTCTATCCTCTCCATTGGAAGTAAACTACAAAAGAAAAGGGTGAAGAATGAGCCAAAAGGAGAAGTAAAAGATGAAGCAAACAAATATCAAGAAGGCATAAGTTTGTCTAGAACTGCAGCTCAGGTTATATTTGAAAAGGTGGCAGAACTTTGATACTGGAGATTTACAACTGAAGAGAACACATAAGAGATTAACACTCTCGCTACTTCAAAATCGTAACATCAAACAGAGAAGATTTTCTTTTACCTCACGTAAATCATTAAAGAACTGAATTGCACTCAAAGATCCTATAAAAAGATAAAATTAACCACGAAAGTATATCCAGAAAGTTATCTGCAAGTTCTCTAATATGGTAACCTGGGGTCTCTCAGCTATCCAGCATTATGTGAACTAGTTAAAGAAGAAAGTTACTACCAAAAGAAGATTTGAATATCCTGAACTTGTCCGTTATTTAACTCATTCAAGTCCCAATCTTGAGAGGTAATCTTCTTCCATTCTTTTTCCCAATTAACCCTTTCATATTGCAGAAATACCATTTAAACCATCAGAAAAAGAGAACTATCCTTTTCTGCATGGTTCTTGTATTTTCTTGGCCAGTAGCTGTCCAGTAACAAACAGACACCCATGAAATACACCCTGACTCAAAATTTGAGTTTAAAGACATTTCTCTGTTCATCAAATTTTTTTCAACATCATTATTACATAGATTCTCCTAGAGGAATCTATAGCACATCAGATCTCGATAAAATCTCTAATCAATAAAAATAATAGCATTGACAATTGACATGCCAACATGACATTTAAAATTCGAAGCATTGTAATTAGCAAAAACCAAAAAAGAAGGCAAACAAACCTTACATGAAGCACATAAATCATTAGCAGAGCTTGACAATTGCGACAAAGGAAGCGTAGCATTTATGCAAGATACTCTCTAAAGCCTTCCCTCTTCCCAGCAACTATTTCCTTTAGCGCCACAAATTCAAGTTCAGCCAAGTACCTTTTATGATCCTAATACTTGAAAAGGACTAAATACCGTAAGTATCATAATAAGAAGATAATAGGTAGAAACATTACAATCCTTGAGGAAACATTTTGATTTCTAGTTCGTTTTCCTTGTAGTTAAAACAATGCTGCACTAATAGGGTATAATACTAGTTCTTACAATACTACACATTTCGACATAGTACATAGCAGGGATGGACACAGAATTCTATGTCAGGGGTGCGAACTTAGGAAGTTATATTAAAAATTCAGGGAATACAAAATTATAAAATTTCAGGGACACAGAATCAGATCATCCATATAAAGTGCAAAGAAAGTGCCTAAACTATGTAAGAATTTGAAATTTACAAGGGTGCCACTAAACCCAACACCCCTCTCTGTCCATCCCGGTACAGAACCCGTTTAATCTCTAGGCTGCTAGAAGATGCCTATGATTGCAGTCCTGGACATTTAATTCTTCACATGCATAGTTCGGAAATTTATTTCTTATACGATAAGCAGGGACTTAAATTGTGTTTGCAGACGCATTTTCAGTTGTTTTGATCGCAAACATAACGGGTGCTATTGCAGGTATCACCGTCATACAATAACGATTTTAGATGACACCAAAACCACTGTATAACAGCCGCTATTCCAATAGTGGACCACTATTTAAATCTCTGATAAGATTAACCACGGTTCTTACAAGTGATTTTGATGATTTTACAAATTTCCCCAAACAAACACCTTTCATAGGAAGTAAAATCACGGAGACTCAGGTGAAAGTCCCTAAGGATTTTTTTCAGATGAAACTCTAAGCCTATGCAATTTCAACTTCGGAGGACCCTATCACAAATCAGAAAGGCATTGACAAAAAAAAAACTCTGTATTTCGGCTATTAAATTAGATAACATGAAACTCCCTTTTCACAACCATCAAAATCGACAATCCTTTAAAGCTTCAACAACTTGTTAAAAGCCCTAAACAAAACGCTGCCAAATTGTTAATAAACCAATTAAAACTCCTGCGTTGACCCAAACAAAAGCACCCCACAAATTCTTAACCAAAAGAAAGAAAGAAGGTCTCACTTGGATGCCAAAGGAGGAAGACTGGAAGCCATTGAATGAGCGAACGCGGAGGCAAGCAGCAGCCCAAAGCTGGTCCTCCTCCACCGCTTCAGCAACAGCGAGCGAAGACCTGTCAATAGGAATGGACTGTTGATGATTGTGAGTGGTGGTGGCAGCCGCGACCGGCAGGAAAAGGATAGGGCGACCGGTGGTAGCGACGGCAGGGGACTGGTGGCTGGAAGAGAATGAAGGGGAGAAGCTATGTGGAGAAGAAGATGAAGGCGGAGGTAATGAGAGGAGTGTCATCTTTGAAATAAGAAATGTGGTTGCAATGGGATTAATGGAAAGCTAAATTTGGAGTGATAAAAGAATAAAAAAAAAAGCTGAAATGGATAATGGAATGTGTATGTAAGAATTTGAAGTAGTCAAGCCTTCTTCTTTCACAATCTTTTTGCATGACTGGCTCCTGCTTTTCCAACTCATATGGAAATTTCGGAGGATACGATACCCCATATCCTCACCACTTGCTAATCTGTCAGGCACAAACCCAAACCTTTAGCCCATTTCTTATTCAGCTGCCATCCTAGAATCGTCAGCTACTTTCTAGTCAAGTTTCAGTATCTCCGTTCATTTTAGGGTCCATTTGATAAAGTTTTCTAAAAATATTTTTATCTAGAAATTATATTTTGACTATAAAATTAATGTTAAATACATAAAAAAAAAATTGACGTAGGAATAGGGGTTTCAAATCAACTGTAAAAGTTAGAATTTTTATTTTTTTTCATTTTTAATTTTGTGTTTGAAAGTAAATTATAATTTTACCCTTATAATTTTATTAATGAATGGGTTACACCCAATTATGTATTTTATGCTAATAATCTAACACTAACATTCTTTAAAAATAATTTATTACTTTTAATAATTTATTTTAATTATTTAAAAATAAATATAATTTATAATTTATATATTAAAACAATAATAGTGAGTTATATAAAATATATTTTTATTTATATTTTTCACATTTTTGTTATAGTTTAAATTGATGTAATTCATATAATAATAATTTTTATAATTTCTTATAGTTTAAATTGATATGATTTATATATAAATGTAAATATAATTTAAATGCATTAAAAAAATATAATGTGTACAATGGATATTTTATCTTTTCACTCATTTTTTAACAACGATCTCAAACAATTAAATTTTAAAATGTATTTTTGAAAACATTTTTAAAAGTTTATTTTTATAATACTTTTAAAAGTCACTTCTAAAACACTATACCAAACTGGCCTTTAGTTGATATAGCTTCTTGTGTTAATACTTAACAATTGATATGTCATCATATATCACCAACTAATGCATCCACACAAATTCCGAATAAAAGCTTGAATATCCAATTTTAATATAATTCTTCAACAATAGTTATTATCTATTATAATTTATTTCTTGAATTTGGTTGATATAATAAATGGATTATTATGATTGTAAAAGATTCATCCCTTTTAACTTGAACGAAAAATCGTAAATTAGAATATTATTGATCGGTTACGTGATCTTTTGTCTCCGTAATAAGGTAGAAGGATAAGTGAAACAGAAAAAAGTTTCATATCTTTCTTTTAATTGGAGAGGAACCTTTAGTGTTTGCTGGATACATATCTTCCCTCCTCTTCTTCACTATATTCAGTTATTTGTATGTTTTCGGTTCAACCTCTTCAAACACCGGTGACAGAATTCTTCTATTGTACAGCTTGAGAGAATTTTGAAATTATATGTAATTAAATAACGAATGTTTTTATATTAAATTTGTATATCCTAATTTATGGTTGCCTCGACTCAAATCCTGATGAAGTCCTTGTAGAAATAGTCCGGCAGCTGACAACATGGAATGACTACAACCCATAATCAAGTTTGTTAGATGGCTGTAATTGATGACCTTAAAGGAAGATCAAGCTGCCTTCAAAAGAAAAGCACCAAAATTTGTTAGATATAGGGCTGGTGCACAGGCCATTGAATTTCTAGAATTCAATAATTTGTTGAGGTGAATAAAGTAGGTACGTCGATCATTAATGATTCATCCCTTTTGATTTAAGTAAAAAATCATAATTATATGATCGTTAATCAGTAATAAAAAGACGTAGAAAAAACATGATAGAAAAGGTCCACAAAGAAATATCACGAGGTCTTCTTCACTCCTCTTGTAGGGATTTATACATCAACCCTTTTTATATATTGGTGTAAGAACTAGAATCAATATTATCAAGATATATACTAATAAAATACATACATACAGTCCTCAATCAATAGATTTGATCCTTACAAATCTTTTATTTACCCAGAATATTGATTTGATCTTTACAAATCTCTTAAGTTTACCGAGTCTTATCAAGATTTTTGACCAATCGAAGATTTTCTATTATGAGAATATTTCTCTAGACAGAATCTTAATAAATATGTGGGAGACACGTATTTACGGAAAAATATATTTCTGGAGATATAATATAATTAATGATAATTTATATTAATAAAGAAATATTTGTGGCTTAAACGTGTAAGGCCCTATTTAAGACCATGGATTGGAGTTAACTAAAACTAAACATAGAGCTGGTGGAGATTCCAACTGCCTCCCACAAGGGGCGAAGGCAACACATTTTATATAGTTACCAGCATACCTAAACATGTTTTAACACATAATTTGAGCTTCTCTTTGTCTATCTTTTTCATTTTCTAAAGTACAAAGCCAGTTTTTTTAATACATTTGATTCTTGTCGGTGTGAATTTGGCCAAGTCATAGACAATGATGCTTTGCACGATACTGTTTGGTGGCCTACTTTTAGTCAAGGATGTAAATGAAACGAGCTT